ATCAATGAAAATCATACAAATACAATTTATAAAACAAATGTATACATGTATTTGAGGCAGTATGTTTTATTTAAGCGCTAAAAGATGTTGTGCTTTAAAGGTAGCACATATTTATGTTCGTGTTAAGAAAATAATTCTGTAAATTTTCTCAAAACTTATTATGTATTCAAGACAAGATGTGCAAGTACTTTTATGCTTCCAGTAATCATGTGCACTGCATTTCCAACGAAACTGTCAATCATTTCAGATATATTTTCTTCAGCTCGGCTATGTACAGTGTAATTATTGGCGACGCCGGTGAGCGGCGTCGTCTATTATGGAATGCATTATTTGCATGGCTTAATAAAACTGAGCATGCAGCATGCATAAATTTCATAATTTTGCTGTTTAGGGTGTTCTTTTCTCTATTTTAAGGGGAAGTAACTCATGTTTACTAAATTATTTGTTCTTTTCTGTCTATCTTAGGTATTACTTATAATACTATTTTTATTGTATATAATTCACCAGTTGTAAGGTCATCAAAAGCATGTTAATGTTAATGTTAGGATTTCATATTTATTTAATATAAACTTGGAATTATTAATGTTATGTGCATACATGTATATCTTAGACAGTAGTATATTGATATGTTGAGACTTATAATTTTTCTGCATTTAAAGAGATACAGTTATGTCATGATTATTAAAGGGATGAGACTTTCATTTAAAGTTATAAATGATAAAACATGTATTGATTGAAACTGTCCTTAAACTTGGATCAAGCAATATAATTAATAAAGTCTCAAAAATCATATTCTGAATAGTTATTCTATTTTTTTTCTAACATGTGCATAGTTTGAAAAGGACAGCTTCTGTCTTATCTATTTGTAATGAAGGGACACCGGTCTCATCCTCCAGGTCTCCTGAGTCAACCCGACAACAGACTGTACATAGAGTAGATTGTTACTTGCCCTTGAATAAATTTGTGCACTAAATTTATAGTGGGTGATTTGTGCCACATGAAAACCAACATAGTACAAAAAGTAACCGGGCGCCAGATGAAAACATGAAAATACAATCTACCACAAAGTGGTTGGTTTGTTGCATTTTCATGTTTTTGCCCGGTGCCCTTGATGCAAAATTCAAATCAGCCTTCATAAAATTTCTTATGTTGGTCACAGGTTTGAGTTCTGGTCAAGCTCAAAGTTTTTCTCATCCTGTGACTGCATATAAGCATGAGTTCAATTTCCAATGCTCTGTAACATAAGAAATTCACGGACACAAATCGATATAGTGGGGAAATATGTTGTGGTTTAGAACTGTTTCATTATTAAAGAGAAAATGTGTAGCCGGCCGGATAGCTCAGTTGGTCTTCTGGAGTCATGGGTTCGGGTCATGGTCAGGCAGTTTCAGTCAGGGTTTAGAAGTGATTTTTCAATTGACACATGTTTGATTCATTTAACAGATTGCATTATTTGAAAGGGACAAAGGCAGTATTGCATGATACTTTTAGATCTACAAAGGGCATTTGATACAGTTGAACACACTATACTGCACATGAAGAAGTTCTTATTCTTCTTCTTCATGAAACTTCAAGCATCTGCCATATATAATGACATTCTTACATGGTTTAAGTCTTATCTCTGATAGACCGCAGCTGGTGGATGTGGCTGGTACTCATTCTACTACTGCTCTGAGTACCTATAGTGTCCCCCTGATCTTCATTTTAGGTCCTCTTTTATGTCTAATATATGTCAATGACATGTCTTCAACCCTAAGCAATAAGCTTTTATTATAATGCACAGGCACGAGTATCAGACCTGGGAAGAAAAAATATGACCAGATTGATAAAAAAACCTGTGTTCATCTTTTTTTTTGGTTTTTATAAACACAGTTTTTTTTACCAATCTGGTCATCTGGTCATATTTTTTCTTCCCAGGCCCAATACTCGTGCCTGTGATTATATGCTGATGACTCAGGAATCCTTGTGTCTCGTAAAATAAATCTGAATAAATTCTTTCTTATAGCATGAGTCTTATAAGATTGCTTAATTGACTATAAATTGTCTTTGCATCTTGGCAAGACAGAGTCTATTCTTTTTTGGTTTAAGTTTCAACTTAAACTGGCCCTTGCCTCCAGGTCACATGTAATGGTACTGCTATAAAGTTCACATCTTTTGTTAAGTATTTAGGTGCAAATCTGGATCAAATTCTTTTGGCGTCGCCCTTTGATGCTTTGCATCAATACTTTTCTTGTATTTAAACTGTAAAACTTTGAAACAATGTTATTCTGTGTGAATATCGTGCATTTTATAGTGCTGACAATGCTTGGGTGTTATAATAGATATCATAACAAATAAGCGGCGACTCTTCGAAAAATATCTCTTATTTTGTACATAAAAAATTTATTACCCATTTCACATTTTTTAAAGAATGTATGCATTTTTTGAGAGGGTGGGTGAAGAAAAAATCAACATTTCTTATGTAACTTTTATGTCAAATAACTGTTACAATAAATGAATTCTTAAGAAAGAAAATCAATCGCTGCATAAACTGATTTACAAAAAAAAATCTTATTCAACAGCTAAAATTATGTGTTTAACAGGCTTTAAAAAATATTTTTGCTTTTTGTTACTATATATATTTTGAACACTCGGAAGTTTCTAGATTTGACATTTTGACGTTAAATGCCAGTAAAAAGTTTACTATGACATCATTATCGGATTGAAGTAACCTTTTAAGGTAATTATTATATATAAAAGTAATAAAACCAGACAGTAAAATGTGACTGAAACATGTAAGATTTTTGTTTGTTTCATTATCAGTTAGATGAGATATTTTTCCTGTATTATAACTTATTTGTAAGGAATAAAACACATACACACTTCAATAAGATAATACAATGAGTTTTGATCTCATGAATAAGTACCGTTATCATTCATATTCATGTATAATTAAAGTAGGCTTTCAAACAATAGGCTTAAATAAATGAAACCCAAATGATGACATTTAAGGCTGATGTTAAATAACATCTCTACGTGTATTTTAACAACGTTAAAATCCACAAGAACATTTACAAACTGACATTTTATGTCGAGTATACTTCTAACTTTATTGTATCCAGGTGTCTTAACTTTGTTTTTGTACATATATAGTCACTTAAGTCGGATTTGATATTATATATAGTTTAGTGGACATTGACCCGTAGGTCTATATATAAAAAAGTTCATATGAGTTGGTCAAGAATTAAAAAGGACACCATACGCGTGTTATACTCGTATAGTTAAACAGTAAATTGTACATTTATAATATAGAAAAATCAAAACGCAATTTACCTTCTTACACGGTTATAGCAATATATAACCATGAAAAAAGTATATGTTTCTATTCTAAAAGTGGTCTTATAATTTATTGTAATTACTAATTTGATACAATATTCTGTTGAAATTTTAAAAATATGTTAATGTAAAATAACCGAGAAGATTACCAAAATCAATGTTATTTTACAGGTATATTTCTGAGCGCTAATAAATTTTACTATTTCAGCTACTAAAACTATTTTCCATATTTAATTATAATTTAGACAGTTTTCCTATTCATTCTGACCTATATAATACACAGAAAATGGCGAATTGTGTCGAAATTCAGAAACACGTTATAAATGAATGTAATAAATAGTCATCTTTAAACATTTTGGTTAAATAATTTCATTATAAACATTTTTATATTTCGCTTTAATTTTCTATTATAATGTTACCTGGAAACAAATATGGATTTTTTTCCGTAGACAAAAGATAGCAATGTGTGTGGTCGAAGCCGTGTAGAACGTCACGAAAGAACATGTCAATTATGTGATGCTTACGAGCTCGAAGACGAGTATCATTTTGTTTTAATATGCAGTGCTTATGAAAATCTACGTAGGCAATTTTTAAGCGTTATTTTTACATTTGGCCAAGTATGGCTAAATTTATAGAATTACTGCAATCTAAAAGCCATAAAGTACTTACAAACTTATTTTATTTAAAAAAGGCAAAAATCAGAAGAATCGATAACTCTAGAAATCTTTAATAGTATCAGGATGCTGTTTTGATTATATATACTGTGATGTTCTTTATAATTATTATGCTGAGTAAATATTTTGTCAAACAAATTCGATTAAAAGCGAAGTTATGGTATGTTTAGTGATCTTCATTATTCATTTACTGAAGTGATTTATAGACATGAATATATAATTGATAAGTATATGTGATGCATTGCATTGTATGTATTAAATATCCCATTGCTCAGTATTGTATTGACTTTTTCTTTATGTGGTTTTTTTCCCTGTATTGTAAAAAATGTGACCTAAAATTATATGTCATAATGCTTGTTATAACGATGTGCCTTTGTGTGTACTAGTTATGAAATAAACTCTGTTCTGTTCTGTGTTTTTACTTTTTTAGTGTATTTCACAACAGTGTTTACATTTGTCATTGTACTTTAAAGGATTTTTTGTGAAATACACCGGCAAACATAATTGAGAAATACACATATATCGATCGATGTTGATAGCCATTATTTTTGGTTTATTCAAATCAACAATGATTCAGTAATTATGTGATTTATCATTCATGCTATGTATTTATATGAGTTGTTTTTATCATATTTAATTTTAAACTCAATTTGAGTTCAATAAAAATATACCATATCCATCCTTCATAAAAAAAATTATCTGAAAATTTATACACACAATATCCATGTGTACTTAAGCTTTTATAGAAAATGCAATCATGTTTAGCTTAGTAATATATTTGTAAGCACTATCGGTTTGCATGTATATTAATCCAACATTAAGTTAAACACATAAAATGATATTGAAATGTCCATGATTTTTAGCACATCTTTTTGATGCAAAACAAAACAAATCGTATTGAATTGTTAACATAAAATATAGAAATAACCTTGAAATGAAATTGCTTTTTTCTTGAATTTACAAACAATTATATACCAACAACCAACTATTTTGTAAACATTACTTTTTCAGAGCAAAATGGTATGACTCTAAATGTGACTCTAAACACGCCTTGGCAGCTTTTCTTGACTCTGTCGAAACATATGACCCGGATGTTATCATGGGACCTTCGTGCTCAACAGGTAATGACGTCATCTCAGCGTCATCGTATTTCATATATTTCGAAACCCTTGTTTTAAGGACAGACTTCTCTTGTAAACAGTTTTAGGAATATCATTTTACCGTTAAAGAACTAATACTAGTATGTTTCTTTTGGAAGACTAAAAATGTTAAGTTGCATATACATGTATACGTATTTGTACGTTTGGTATTATATTTATTTATATCACATTAAAAGTGTATACTGTATAATGCATGCAAGAGGATAGGTTGCTATAAAATGCTTTGTTGAATCAATTTATCAAACGTAATTCCTTAAAACATATAAGAAGAGTGCCATAAATATCTTATTAGTACTGAATGTCTGAATATTATTATAAACAAACATACTAAATTGCATTGAGTGGTAATCTATTAAAATGCTTTAAAATGTTTGACTTCAACTTCACTTTGATACTTTACCTTATGAAAAACCTTTGTTTAGTGCAGTTTTAACAAAGAATGATTGTTTTTTATGTAAATTTATCATCTATTTCATATGGCAATTTCAATAATTATATATTTCTTTGAAATACCGTGGCACTGTGAAAATGTTTAGAACTACTTTGAAAATTCATAATCTTAAATGGTCTAGATTTCTACTAGTTTTTTTGCTTGTAATTAGGCGTCTTGTCGGTGACCAACTGATAGCAATCTGAAAGCAAACAATCGTGTGCTTGTACACAAAACGCCCTTTGTCAAGTCACGAACATATGTAAAAATATATTTTGCATGTGCAATTTTCGTATTTTAGATAGCAAAAAAGCAACATCAAAAAATCCGAATTTGTTAACAATATATTAATTACTTCGAGATAAAATGACTTTTGGCGCAAAAACTATTATTCAAATGACTCCAGGCTATTTATAATTCAAAATGTATATATTTATTTATGATGACGTAGAAAAATGATAATCTTAAAGAACGCCCAAAAACGATGAAATTAAAAATGTTGGAGGCTCAGTTTAAATGATCCGATGTTCAAAATCAATAAAGACTTGTAAATGTGAGGAATTGTGTGCTTTATTTCTATGTTCACGAAACATAGATTAAAGGGCTAAAGTAACATAACAAACCTCTTATAAACGCAAGTTTATTGTTGTATTAACCTTCTGAATAAGAAGAACGAAAACTTCCACATCTTCGATATAGAACAGAAAGCCAGAAAGCCTTAACATTGCTATGTTGAATATTAGGTGTATGAATAACAGTTACTGTGTCATTTAGATGTTGTTGAATGGATACTTTCAGGTCTTCTTGGCGTTGCACAGATAGGCTCAATCTGGAATCTACCGGTGTTCAGCTGGGTGTCAGACCTGCTCGACTCAAAAGAGAAGGATAAATACACAACTTTGATAAGATTGTCAGGTCCTCTTTATTCTCTTGGTAAGAGCTACAGATGATTCTCTTTTTGTACGCAATTACAGTTTGAATGTAATAAAGAAACCCAAACGGCATATATTGAAAATAAATTGGTTAGATAGATAGGTAGGTAGGGTAGGGTAGGGTAGGGTAGGGGTAGGGGTGGGTAGTGGTAGTGGTAGTGGTAGTGGTAGTGGTAGTGGTAGTGTAGTGGTAGTGGTAGTGGTAGTGGTAGTGGTAGTGGTAGTGGTAGTGGTAGTGGTAGTGGTAGTGGTAGTGGTAGTGGTAGTGGTAGTGGTAGTGGTAGTGGTAGTGGTAGTGGTAGTGGTAGTGGTAGTGTAGATAGATAGATAGATAGATAGATAGATAGATAGATAGATAGATAGATAGATAGATAGATAGATAGATAGATAGATAGATAGATAGATAGATAGATAGATAGATAGATAGATAGATAGATAGATAGATAGATAGATAGATAGATAGATAGATAGATAGATAGATAGATAGATAGATAGATAGATAGATAGATAGATAGATAGATAGATAGATAGATAGATAGATAGATAGATAGATAGATAGATAGATAGATAGATAGATAGATAGATAGATAGATAGATAGATAGATAGATAGATAGATAGATAGATAGATATGATAGATAGATAGATAGATAGATAGATAGATAGATAGATAGATAGATAGATAGATAGATAGATAGATAGATAGATAGATAGATAGATAGATAGATAGATAGATAGATAGATAGATAGATAGATAGATAGATAGATAGATAGATAGATAGATAGATAGATAGATAGATAGATAGATAGATAGATAGATAGATAGATAGATAGATAGATAGATAGATAGATAGATAGATAGATAGATAGATAGATAGATAGATAGATAGATAGATAGATAGATAGATAGATAGATAGATAGATAGATAGATAGATAGATAGATAGATAGATAGATAGATAGATAGATAGATAGATAGATAGATAGATAGATAGATAGATAGATAGATAGATAGATTTATATTCAGTAATAATGGTAACAACATATCCAATACATGATAAAACAATAAAAACAAATATCAACGTAAACGAAATGCACCATATCAAAAACATCATCCCAAGGATAACACAAGAAAGAGAACTTAATCTCTTATTTCCATTGTGGTCCTAAGATACTGATGGTTTTGACAAAGAGAGGCATGAAAATGACTTATCACAGTTTTAAATTGAAGAAAGACAATAGTATACATAAAATTTTCAAATTAAAATAAATGAATAAAAATAATAAATATTAAGACTAGAGGATAGACACCTTTAAAAGAGATAATTACCCATTAAGTAAATGTTTTTAACAGATAATTTAAAATTGTACAATTTTGATTCCATCCTAATAGAAGAGGGTAGTTTATTCCACAATACACATCCATTGTAAGCAAAAGACTTTGATCCGAAACCTTTGACCTTAGGTAGCATATAACACCCACTTTCACTTGACCTGGTCCTGTAAGTATGAACAGAATCTAATGGAATAAAGTTTTCTCCCATATATTCAGGGGCAAGTCCATGTTTTATTTTAAAAACATTACAGAGGACAATTTGATCAACTCTTTTCTGGACAGGTAGCCAATTTAAAATTTTAAAGTGTTCATTATCAATATGTGACCTATAACCAAGATTTAGAACAAATCTTATTAATTTATTTTGTGTGACTTGGAGTTTATCCTTCCAGTATTTAGTAACCCCGGGAAACCAGAAACAACATGCATAATCAAAATGACATTGGATGAGGGCCATAACCAGAAGTTTTTTAGTGTGAAATGTGAGATAATCACGTTTTCTATACAGAAACTTTAACCTTGCATTGGCCTTTTTAATAATAGAACTTGCCATTGCTTCACCGGAGAGAGACTGATCAAGTGTTGCACCTAGATATTTGACATTAGAAGTTGACTGTATATCAGTCCCTTTACAACTGACATGAAGAGATGAACCTGTTTTTAACCTATGTTTAGAACCAAATAATATTGTCTCTGTTTTGCCTAAGTGAAGGGAAAGTTTATTGTCAATTAACCATTGACTGACAGAATGTAGTTCATCTGTCAGTTCTTTTTCAATAGATGACCTATTTTTACCTGCAACAAGAATAGCAGAATCATCTGCATAAAGAAGAAGTTTATTTTTAACAACAGCCTGCATATCATTTACATAAATTAAAAATAATAATGGTCCCAAGATAGACCCTTGGGGAACACCACAAGTAACCCTTTCATGTGAGGAAAAAGTACCAGATACATCAACAAGTTGTTGCCTATCAGACAGATATGACCTAAACCATTGTAAAACATCAGTACTAAGACCAATGGCTTCTAATTTCATTAAAAGGATTGAGTGGTCCACTGTATCAAATGCTTTTTGAAGATCCATTAAAATCATGCCTACAAGATTACCTTTATCCATATGTAGCCTAATGAAATCAGATAGATGTGTAAGACAAGTGTCCGTGGAAAAACCACCTCTAAATCCTGATTGAAATTTATATAATATGTCCATTTCTTTAAGATAGGAAGAAATCTAATCATAAACAACCCTTTCAAAAATTTTAGAAACAATGCTTAATATGGAAACAGGCCTGTAGTTGCCAACTTCAGTTTTATCATTCTTTTTGAAAAGAGGAACAACTGTTGCTGCCTTCAAATCATCTGGTACTGTGCCTTGTATCAATGACAAATTTATAATGTGTGTTAAAGGAAAGGCAATAATAGATGCGCTATCTCTTACAAAACGTGAAGGAATACCATCCAGACCAGTGGATTTCTTCTAACCTAGTTTATTCAAATACTTTATTACACTCTTTTCAGACATCAAAGAAAAAGAAAAATTATTATATATAATTCTTTTTGAAAAATAAAAAGAAGATACAAACTGTTTACCAAAAATGTTTAATGCTGGAGGTAGATTTGCAGTAAGATTTGATGCAACATTACAGTAAAAATTGTTAAATTCTTCAGCAACCTTTTGTTTATCAAAACAAATTTCATCACCTATTTTTAATCCAATATTAATCTTAGAAGATGAATTATCCTTTTTAGATGGTAGACCAAGCTCCTTAAGGGATTTCCATAAGGTCTTTGAATCATTTTTATGATTGTCACATGAATTATTAAAGTGGTTCTTTTTCGCCATAAAAATAAGTTCATTAGCTCTATTTCTATATGTTTTAAAATCCTCAAAATTTTCATCAGTTTTATTCTTTCTATACAAATGAAAAGCTTAATCTCTATCATTTAAACATTGTAAAATTTCTGGACTAATCCATGTTTCAGTACGTTGTTTAATACGCATTTCCCTAACAGGAGCAATGTTATCAACAACATTTAGAAAAATAGACTTAAAAATATTCCAAGCTTCAGATACACAGTCACATAATAATACAGGAGACCAGTCAACTGCAAGTAAAGATTGCTGGAAATCATCCTTATTATAATTTTTCATTGAACGTGCTTTGATAGTTATTTCAATGACAAATGATGAAACTGGGTATCCAACAGTCAATTGTCTGGTCAGACAGAAGGTATGTGCATGCTAGTCTGGCTCTAGGTTGATGTTTTAGGTTTGCTTGCATTCACTGTTACTATAACCATAAAATTATTTAGTGACCATATTTTTTTTATAAATGTAGATTTTTTAAATGTGTGTCGACTTCTGTGGCTGGGTTTTATCGGGCTGCGTTTAAGAAACGCCAATATTGCTCGGCGCTGAGAAGGCACAGGGCATCGGCAGAAGATTTGAAGACCTGGGATGGCGCAAAAGATCAGAACTTGTACTGCGGACCAGCTGCCGATGTCCTGACAAATGCCGAGGGGAGTGGAAGTTCAAAGTAGTATAAGACAACGAGGATGGGCTACCCTTCATATACTGGTAGTCTCAGATTACTGTACATCTAGGTTCTCATTGACAGCCGTACAGTGACCTACTTTTGGCTCAAAATTCATATCTTTGGCTAATACTCCGTGGAAATTACATGGAGGTAATTAAATTAACACTTTGTGCTTCAAAATTAACTTTTATGGGCATGACTGGTGATATATCCGGGGTCCGGTCTCAACAGCGAAAGCTGCATTTTGTGCCCTTACGGGAGGATGGACCCTCATTAAGCATATATTACACACACACACTCCACTATAACACACTTAATCATTACAACACATGTTTGATCACCAAATTAATTTTAATGTGATTCATTACCCACACTTGTGTTTATTATATCTATCTAATTGACAATAGTGATGCAACAAACTTCCGCATGTGGTGCACGCTAATTAGAAGAAATGGTCTTTCAATTTACAAAAATATTCTCCTTTTTAATATAAGTAACACATGTTATAGATTAGTTAGATAGTTTATTCATATATGACGTGTACAAAAATGCACTTGGTTACAAAATACATACATGCAAATAAAATTAAACACCACGTTATCATCAAAGTTTACATTATTAAGTAGCAAAGTGTCATACAATGTTACAAATACATCTTCAGACTGTAATAACAATACATGGAGAATGAAAGGAAATAAAGTTATTTTACTAAAAAGATAGCATTTTTTATGTTTATGTCTGTGATGCAGGGGACAAAATGCAATGTAAATGATTTACAGAAGGGGAAAGAAGATACATATATAAATTCACAAGTTGATAATGTTTGACTAAGAACATATCAAATTTACATTTAGATTTGAAATAAGTAATTTGATGAGTGGTTATAATTTTCGATATATAATTACATTTTTATATATCTTACAATTATAAGTTATATGTAGCTACAGAGTACAATATGTTTGTTTGTTTCTTTGTGAGCATATTAAATGTAAAACGTTAACTCTGCACCTTATCTCGTCCAAATCAGTAAGGTCAGAATCGACAAAAATCTGCGTGGTCCAACCTAAAGATCAAAGTGGTATCGTTACATTAATATGACCTTTAAACCCCATGTGCAAAGCTCCATTTTCTGTATTTAGGAATGTATTTTAAGACGTTAAGGGTTTTTTTTTGTTTAACTTTTGGAAAGAAACAGTTGGCATTCATGTATTTAAATTAAAGTACTATATTTTTATACTTCATTTCATAGAAAGTGCGTTCATTAACTACTTTGACATTAATTTATTTTTGTTTTTACTTGAAATTCATATTTTCGTTTTCCTTGTACGTATTCTTGTTGAACATATCTACTTGTGTTTGTCCCCGGGGTTAGTTATAAATCAGTAGAGCACTCGATGACGAACGAAAATAATGTTTTCTTGTATCATACATGTACTTTATGTTAATAAAGACAGATCAATAAAAATTGTAAAAGTCTTATAAGTATTTTTAATAACATTTCTATTAATAGTAACACACTAAAGCATAATTATGGACTATTTTGTAAACTGCACGCGATGTTCACTTCCAATGTGTTAACACAGTTGCACATTTCCTGTCCTAACACAGCTGTCTATAAAATTCTGTATTAATAAATTGCTCTAAATTTAAATTATTTTTAATATTGCCACTTAAAATACATATGTTTTATGCTACGTAGCATGACATATGTTGTATACACCAAACGCATTTTATCTTGATGTTTGAAATAACAAATTTTGTTAAAAAATTCGCCAAAGATATTTTTCTTATGTCAATATTTAATTATATTGAAGGCAGTCCAAGACATACTTAACGTAAAGTCCGTTGTTGTGCAAAGATTGAAATTTATATACGTTTTGTACAAAATCTTATAAACTTTCCTAAAATACTTTAATCCTTTAATGTCATGTTATTCAATATGTTACATCCATACATATTATAAACAGTCAATTGCAAGTTTCAGTGTATCATGTGTGAGTGTTCTCTTTTCGTCTTGTAAAGTTGTAGAATAAAAATCCGTTTAAATGATTTTACACATCGCACAATTTACAATGTAAACATAAATAACTGACCTATAAATTGCGTTATCCATCGTTAAGGTCGCGGGCATATAAAATAACACATCCAGCTTCTAAATTCAATATACTTAATATCTTAAATGGGAGTCTTTTTATATAAACGTGTACAGTTGCACTATTTCATCACACATTGTGTGTAGTAAAACTGTATTTGATCATACTATTAAGATATGATGAAATGGTCTTCATATATCAAATTTTATTTAAATAACACGAACGGCGTATTTGATGCTTTGAATTAGTCTTGTTACATACAACTTGTATAGAAAATAACATCAAAATATACTCTCAAATACTGCAATGGCTAGAGCTGATATATTAGACAAAAAAGCACTTTTTATGGTTCTCTAAATTTTAATCATTAGGGTTTAAATTAGCCTCGAGCCAAGGGTCTCTCAGTCTGTATTGGCCCAGAGCATGTTTCATTCTACAGGGTTATTAAAGCATCCCTCTATGCGTTCAAATAACATCCTCCAACGAGACATATGTTCAAACTTTTGTATTGAAGAATAATATCTTTTTATAGAAATGGATCTGAAATGGATCTGAAACGATCGAGGGTCAACATGGCCCTCTTGTATGTGACTTCATAATTAATTACAATTTTACTTGTAGCTCAAACTATGCGACAGGTTGGTTTGTATTTCAAATGGCAGAAATTTGCCCTGATATACGACAAGCAAGCACCATACGAGGCGGTGGCCGTGGCCTTGAGAGGAGCAGCCGTGCACATGAACTATACCGTAAAGAGCACACATTATATTTCTGGTGAAACCACTGATGAACACGTTGTATCCATATTAGAACAAATTAAGAAATTTGCAAGAGGTATCATTTTGACATTTTAACCTTTCATTAGCTTTGCGTAAATAAATGTAACAGTATTTTCAGGTATATTGCATTTTGCAGCTACAATTTATTTGTGGAAAATGGCATACATTTGATTATTTGGTTAAAATATTCACACGATATTTTCAAATTTCCTATTCGATGTAAAAGGACATATATCATTTTCCTTTAAAACAGTTTACCAAAGCATCTTTACGAGTTTGAAACAAAAATATATTATGCAACATAAATATAAACTGTCTTGGTAATGTCTGGATCAAAATTAGTAGATATTCAGATCTTTTGTGTTTTCATTGAAAATCTTGGTGGCGTCGTTGTCGAGTTTTTAACGCATTGGACATACTGATTGCGCGAATTCAAATTCCGTCAGAGGCAAGCCGTTGATTCCTTAAGCAAGACACTTTACACTCATTGCTTAGTACTTGTAGTTCCAGGGATTTGATAGTGTGTCTGGCTTTAAGCTAATACCATCTTGTACAATTAAACTAATTAAAATGTTTAAAAACGCCTGCCCTAAATAGATGTTATAAGAGGATTCTATTTAGAAATCACGTTTGTTAAAATACAAAACAAACATGTGTCCACATTGATTCACAAGCCATATGTACTTGCAAGTCACATTGCTTTTTTATAGAGAAACTGTCACCTACATACAATTGAGACCCGATATTTTTTTTAATTCATGTGCCATTTGTAATTTTGTTGTTTTTGTTTACGGCATATAAATCATTATAACTCGGCTTTTTATTGCCGAAATAGGGGGGTGCCTAACCATGCGCTGCCAAAATTGTAAAGTCAAAATAATTATGGTGTGAAATTTGCACATCGTATTGTTTTTGAGATTAGTCTTTGAACGAATATGTCATTTTCAAGTTCATTTTTTCCCTGTTATACATTAGTCCAGCATTATTGTGTCTCTTCTTTTCTCTAACAGAAATTTGTTTATGTTTTATATCGTTGTTTTTTATTTACAGTCATCATTTTTGTTGTACCTTGGCATACATTACGTCGCTACTTATTGCTGGCCCATGAGTTAGGTATGGCTAATGGAGAATATGCGTTTGTCTGCATTCATGGTGATGTAAGTCGCTACAAGAGCTTTTTCTCAAACTTTAATACGACTTCAAATGTTCCTTAGTTCTTTGTTTGTATAAATTTTTCTGCTAGTGCTTCTGCTCTCCTTGATAGAGATACAGGATATCATTTTTTAAATATTATTTTTGCTTTTCTGAGAGGTGCAATGTTATATCATCTCGTGACCTATGACAAAACTATTCTTGCTACGCCACTTGAACATTTTCAAAGTTCACGAACTGAAATTGCATCTTTCAAAAAGAATGAAAATATAACCTTAATATAAGTTTGTTGCAGTTATATACCTGGGATGTGTTGGACGGAAAAATCTTTTCGGACTGGGGATGGAGACGCAATGACGAACATGACGAAAAAGCGCGGGAAATATTCGAATTCGCCATTCACGTAAGTTTTGAAAATAACATTATGATGTATCGAAAAAGGTCAATAAAGGTACAAAAAAGTCACATACAAAACAAAGTATGATGCGGACATTGCTATTAACTTCTGAATAGGCATTTGATTTTCCTTTCATTATGTACTCAATGTCAACTCACCGTATGATCTTGTAAGGTATTCTATACTATTCTATTCAATATTTAGGTTATAACAGTGCCAGTTAAGAAACCTAAGTACGTGGATTTCAAGAACCTCGCTGAAAATGCTGCTATAATTGACCTGACAGACTGGGAGATACCTTTCAATGAAACAGACGTAAGACTAACTACGTTATATGTTTAAAATATATTCATGTAAAGTGATTATCAATTTTGTATTAAGCCTGTGTTGCGTTTCATAGAAAGTCTTAAGACCAAAACTGAGACAATTTTCGTTTTGAATAAAAATGCAGATGAACATCTACATATTGTGGATTGAAGATTGACTTTAGATACACTTAGGACTTCCTATGAAACGCAGCTTTGACTGAAATCTGTGAAAGATTTTTTTCTGGTGACAGCTAGGAAGCTAGTAAATCATTGTTAAGAGAGGTATGATTTTGAATTGTCAATTTTCTGCAACAGCATAATAATCGTAATTTACTCTCGTCTTTTTGATATTCGAAACCGCATTTTGGTTGCCCATATCTGCGATGCCCGATGCAGACCGTTAGTTTCTTCGAGGCAGTTATCCCATTCCAAAGGCGAGTCTGATTCTTTAATACGGCCTGTGTATTTGTTTGGTGTAAAACACGGGCACATTAAACCTCAGTTTTAAGTTTTCATGCTAAAACAAAAACATTGACAACCTCACTGTCTTAATAAAAAGTTTGTTTCAAAGTTTCAAAGTTTGTCTAATTTGATTTATGTCGCGAGATGTTATACACGTGTTTTTTTTTTGTAAATTTGTGTAATATGGTCTATGAGAAACCTTTTCGAATGAGAATAACAATTCATTGGTACAGTTTTTAATGAAATGCAAATATATTCATAATTTGTTTTACACCTATTGAACGTAAAGGATGCAGATGTGTAAACTATTATGAGATTTATACTGTGGTAGTTTTGTCTGAAAAACTTATACATTTGTTAAAAATTTTCAAGCGAGAAATAAGTCTTAACAATTAACAATAAGTCTTTGACAATTACATTAGGATTTATTACGAGTGCTTATAAGCGGAACATTATTCATATGATAAGCAAATTAGCATAATAACATTATAATTATGAGCTCTTTATCAAAACAATAGCATGTGTGAAACAATGTACCTTTTTATAATAACCAATATTTTACGTAACGTTTTATTAAAAAGACGTGAATTCTGCCGGTTCAGATTTGGATTTCATCCGCGGCAGTATACCCTTTTCACAAATGTGTTTTCTGAACGGAAGCCCACTGAGACCGTTTTGAGTGAGAAGATAGAAGACAACAATTCGAACTTAGATTTAAGAACTTAGGTCTTAGTTCTTAGAACTTAAAAGTTCCATAAAGGCGGGAAACACAATATTGACTGCAAGATAGATCTAGTTAACATCTAATATCTAACATCTAAGTTCGAATTGTTGCCTTCTGACTCAAAACGGCCTCAACGGGCTTCCGTACTTACGTACTTTTTAGACTTTACATGCTTATGTTTGTTTCTCCAATTATTGTAGTCGGATGCTTATGCGCCATATTTATATGACGCAATGATGACGTGGGCAACGAGTGTGAATTATACTCTGGAACATGGTGGAAACCCAAGAGACGGAGCACATATATACAAAGTTATTGCGGAGTCCATAAATATAGAAGGTCAATATCATAACAAACATAGTTACTAAGTATTTACCTTACTGTAAACTAACAGTCCTTACTTTTTCAAGTAATTTGTGGGTTTTCTTTTTTTTTTTTTTTTGTTTTTTTTTTTTTTTGTTTCAAGTGTACCTAAAATGTCGTGTAAACATTCCTTCTAATGAAGGACCGAAAGAGTTCTTCATTTAATCTTGAAAGAGGGTCTAAATGTCTTTTGTCTGAAAGATAAACTGATGGCATTCATCATTATGAACGTTTGTCCCATTTAGATTAAAATATTGCAACATATACTTAAGGTCATTTTATGATATTTTCATTATTGTAGTCAGTTCGAACAATAAACCGATATAGTTATGTGTTATTTTAAACAATTAAACCGGAGATAACATAAATAACTTATTGTTCAGGTGTTACCGGGAATATTGTTTTTAATCTTCCCGAGATGGAACGGATGATGAACTATAGAGTGTTGGATATGAATGGCAATGGAACATTCTACAAACTTCACGATTTTATCTATAAGCCGGACTGGAAGATGAAATTTGATTATGTGCGTACACACCTGCTATAATTGTAAAGTAGACTGATTTAACATTTATTTTAAAGTTACTCGTAAGTAAAATATATTAGACTGTGTAATCGTATCTTGATAATATTTAAGTAACTATATTGTATTGACATGTAATCGCAAGGTTTTTTTTCAGGTATTTCTTTCAGAATGATATGAGCAAAACTTAATTGATTTTATTAAGTAAGATTTTTAACAAATGTGTCCTGTGAGTACAAAGTGTTTAATCTTTCTTCGTCCCTTAGATATGTAATAAATATGAAATTTGGAAATCTAACATAGTTTGTCGTTTAAGTTGCCGTTGAACCATCGACAAATATTAGCGTAATTTATCAAAAATTCACTTCAATATTGTAATAATTGTTCTAGTAACTCGGTGTTCCATCACATAAAGTATTAAAGCTTGTATACGGCGATGGGGAGTGGGAGACATTGCACTCTCTTTATTATCTCTCATGAACAGACTAAATTAAACTGAGTCTGCAATTTTCGTTAACTATGTTCCTTTCATTGCCTCCAAGGAATCTCCTCTTTCCAGATATTTATTAAATTTTATGATTATGTGTTACAGGACAATTATGAGATCTTTCAGAAGCGTGGACGCTGGCTTACACCAACAGGTGCACACCCGCCTGATATACCAGTTTGTGGCTTTGATGGCGAAAAGTGTGAAGTAAAAATATACAACAGTAGGTTTAATTGAACAGTACTTTGTTGTTATAGTTGGTTTAATTTATTGACTACTTTTGCTGAATAAATTTATTATTTGAGTCTATCATGTATAGATATAATCATTTATAAAGGGTGGGCGAAAGGATATAATGTAAAAAAAAGGGATAAAGTAATAAGTCATTAATATTCGCATGAAATATACAAAATTTAAAGTTTATTTGTGATTTGTTAGCGTTTGAAACAATTTGTATCGCTTGAAACAACTTTAACTATAGATGGAAACTATGAAGAAAAACGTTAAGTTTTAGATTTTTGAACAATCAAGAAGTTTGTCTAACCAAATATCCTACAATAATATTATGTATACAAATTAAACTTTTCAGACAGTTATAACAGTGCAATAATTGGTGCATCAGTGTCTGCCTCGGTCGTTTTTGTTTTAGCTATTGTTGTTCACATGATGTTAAGGTACTGTACTACATTTTTCATCTTTCCTGTGTCAGTTTTTATGTCACATTGACCTTGTTAATGTTTTATGGCTATTGTGTTGTTCTGGCCGAGTAAGACTAACAAGGCTTCATGTTGTATCATGTCATGCGTTAGCCGACACTTGTTTGAACTATCAATATTATAGGACTTCATAAAAGTCTTGAGCAGGATTAATGACATTCACTGAAATCTCAGCTGTGGTAGAAAGTTGCGCTATCTTCTTACAAACCTGGATAGTGGTTACATACGTTATTCATTTTTACGAAGATGAAATTCATTCCAGCTTTTAATCATAATAAAGTATATAAATCATAGAAACAAAATTTCAATTTTTGACTTAATTAAAATGGTGTTGGTTCTTTTTAATAAACCTTAACGTATGTATTTAAAACTTGCAACATGAATAACTTCTTCTCCATTACGAACAGCTTGAAAGCGTAAATAGATTGTTATAAAGATGCAGGTCAGTTAAAACAACTTGCAGAAATTCATTACATCACGAAATATATTTAAAACTTTAAAAACGACCATGAGTTTTATAAATCATGGTGATATCATTAGGCATATGTAAACTTTATAATTAATACTCCTATAAACATCCTGGACAGCTATATTGATTTATATTATTAGAAGTCAAAAATGTAGCGGGAATAACCGCCGCCTGAAAACCACATTATTTGTCAATATAAACAACGAAATCAAATAAGGGTCGTTTTTTAACTTAAAATTTGTAAATATAAGGCACCAGAGTGAGTAAAGATTTATCAAACAATACATGTTACTCAGTAAATCTGTTTTGCCATCTAAGGCAGACAAAGGACTACTTACATATAGATAATATACCAGCACATTTCAAGTCAAGAAATAAATATGATCGTTTTCATAATACATGACGGCTAATGAATTAATAACATTGAATAACTTGAAATTCTAAAGACGGCGATTAATATTAATTAATCAATCACAATTTACATTCGCATAAACATCCTAGACAGCTGTTTTAATTTATTTCATTACTACAAATTAAAATTGTTAGGGGAATACCCAATGGAAACCAAATTATTCGTCAATGTAAACAATGAAATCAAATGAGGGGGTTTCAATTGAAAATTCCAAGACATGTTACACAAAAAAAATTCTTTGCTATCTAAGATAGACAAATAATTGCTTCGATACCAGTACATTTCAAGTCAAGAAATGAATGCTGTCAAAGCGACATATAAGATTTGTTAATATAACACGCATGTATTTAGTAAAATGTTATCCGTCCATAGTATGCAACTTATCAATTTATATGAGACAGGTGTAAAGAAAACTATGTATTTGACAATCAATTTTTAAGACGCATGTTCGTCAATTATTTTCACAAAACATTTGCTTGGCCTTCATTTGTTATTACTTCATCATTGTGTGATCTGGACACTTCGCCTCAAATCTTTATAAAATGTACATTAAAACGCATTACATGATAATTGTTCACACCTACATTATATTATTTTTTCGTGTTAAAATTGAGTATTAAATATAAAATTTACCCTGCTGAAATTCTGAGAAGCCACGCCACTAATAGTCCAGAGTCTGGTCAGACTGCAATGATGTCTAGGTTTCTTTGCTTTATAAATGGTACAGGCAAGCCACTAGCACAGCTTGTACACTTTCGGTTACAATATTTAGGTGACAAAAAACACGCAGTTTTCCTTTACTAGCCTGAAGATGTGCTAGTCGCCATATTACCTTATAAGAGTAAAAGTCAATGTTTCTAAAACACAACCAACGAAAAAAAATCTAGACAGTTGCCATTTAAATTTAACAGTGTCGTTCGAATTTAAACCCGTTTAGAATTGAAGAAAGATTTAAGTGTGTGAAGAGCTCTATGTGTCTGTGCCATTTTTAAAAAGATGGAACAAAGAGTGTGTAGATGTTTAGCCAAATGTCAGTAATGATATTGAAAGTATGTAGAATAAGATAAATATTTCTTGCATATATTAAAATATCTGGTCAGTATCCAGCTGGAAAATTATACAATATTTTTGTGAACGGTTGTCTCCCCTGTTGATCTTAATGCTGGTAGTAGTATTTTATTCTTGTAATGTTCTTCCAAAAAATAATTTTATAAATGATTTACCAAAAATTACAGACCCTGGTCAGACTTGATGTGCAGGTTATCTTGGCTCTATATTTGCAGCAAAAAAAAAAGACTAATAACGCTCGATTCAAGTAGATTAAACGTCAAGAACAAAGACTTTTTGTTCTTTCCGTTCGATAAAAATATGCTCACATTTTGCAAACTAGATCAAAGATTAATTTCATATTTCCAGGCGTTACCGCCGACAGATGAACCTTCAAAGTATGCTGTGGCAAGTTCGATTTGACGAGATAGACTTTGTAACAGCATGGATATGCGGCAGTCTCCGGGTAGATATTACTTATTTTTATTATATTGACATTATAAAAAATTGATTTATTTCTAACATCTTAGGTTTTTCTTGTTCATACGGTAACCTGTATACTATTTTACTTAAATCTGTTATCCAACGTATATATGAACAATATTATCAACAATGGTTTTCTGAAATTGATAATTCTATTAAACTCGATACGTATAGTTTGAGTAAAAGAACGTTTGGATTGTTGTAAAATAAATAGTAAATTCAGATTAGCCCTTTCACGTTTTAGATCTTCAGCTCATAAGTTAAATGATTAACAAAGGGAGATTTAGAAATATTGAAAGAAATCAACGAGTTTGTTAAAAATGCAATATGAATGTAGTGGAAACTGAATATCATTTTACTTGCTTGTCCGTATTACAATGATCTACGAAAAGAACATTAACCAAAATACTACTGCTCTTGGCCAAACGTACTAAAGTTTATAATGTCATTGAATAGCTCGCAACATAATGTCATAAAGAAATTGTCTAAATTTATTTACTATGCAACTTTAACTAGAGACTGGTAACTAATTCCAACTAAATCCAAACATTAATTATTATATTCTTAATATTTATTTCATGACTGTGATATTATATATGTAATATTACTTTTCTCGTATTTAGATGTGTTATGCATTTGTGTTTATAAGTATTTATACACGCCGTTATTGTTTATGGCAATAGACATTATGTTTGTGTCTTAATAAAATCTTTAATTTTGAATCCACCCTTGTATTAAAGGTGCTCGCCTAAACGTATAGGAAAATTTATTTGCTGTAAAGTTAATTGAAAAGATAATGCAGTTTGAGTAAGTGATTGTCGGACGTTGTTTCATGTATGACAACATTTTATGTCATGAACGTTTGGACTGGATTTAAAACGGTGCATTCAAATTTTAAGATATTTCCATAAAATAAAAGGGCTACCAACAGTACTGTCAGACCGGAAAGGAAGTGCAGGCTATCTTGGTCTTGTACTGGTGGCAAACGCTGGTCACGTTCGTTTTCAGTAGGCTGGTTAATATAGTTAAGAACAGAGAAGAAGAAAACATGTTGTCGAAATTGAATGAAGATCAGGAAAGAAAATAGGGATATCGTGAAAGTCCTATTGACAAGGTGATTTAACGACCGCAGCATTATCCTTTTTAAAGCACTTGAAAATATAAAGGACAGAAGCGAAGAGGCACAATACTTGCATGCTTGCCTTCCTCATTTTCAAGACAAACGTTTGCAATATATGTGATGAATAAAAAAATCTTGGTCACTATACTGACCATTTCCTTTTACATAATTCAGAGCAGTTTCAAAACTCTTCGAAAACCGTCTTCGAAAACGCTTAAACGAAGGAGGTGTAATATAAGTGAGAAAGAAAGCAAGGCTATTAGGCAAATAAGATCACAAAATGGTAAAAAAGGATCACCAGGTGTCCATTTAAAATCATTTGATGCGAGCGCCATGTTTGGATCTGTGGCCATTGTTAGAGGTATGTTTGATCTTATGAAATTATGTTGTTAAATGATTTGATTTTATAAGTAATATGTATACAGCTCATTGCGATAATTCATAAAAATGATAGATAAAGACATATTATGTAATGTGAATAAAGCAATTATATTACACAGTAAAGTTTGTAGTAAATAATCATGTATGTTTGTCTTTTTTCGGGGTGGGGTTACGCCGCACCAACACTACAAAGGTCATATGGCGTTTGGAAGAAGACTTCCAAAGACCCTCCGTGCATTATTTCAGTCGGCCAAAGACACCTGTATGACTTTTCATCTGTTTACATTTACATATTTTTACATAACTTAATATTCACATTTTCTTTAGGTTATTTTATTTGATTTATTGCAGGTAATTTAACGTCTGTGAAGAAGATTAATAGATGTTACTCTAACCTTACGAAAGGAGTTCTGCAAGAATTAAATCAGGTTTGAATTCTTTACTTTACCTTTCAAATATAACGAAACAAAGCGTTGCTTCCTTTTACCATTCAAATTCAAAACATTTTATAAAACTGTGTGTTTTAAGATGAATTCTTAATTATAAAAGTCGGATAATCTAGTAGTTCTGGACCACTCAAATATTCCAAATCTTTCATCATTTTTTATATACTAGTATTTTTTCTTTCTTTTTCAGCTAATGGAAATTAAGCACCAGAATATATGCGCATTTGTCGGCGCGTGCGTAGAACCAAATCGTGTATTGTTGATTTGGGAGTACTGCGCAAAGGGAAGTTTACAAGACGTCATCTGGAACCAGAACATCAAATTAGATCAAATGTTTATGTTTGCATTAAGTCATGATGTCTCTAAGGTTAGTTTTAAAACAGTGATTGTTGTGAGCTTTAGCACATTAAGGTCATATTTTCAATCAATTTCTTAACTGCTGTTGATGTTGATATACCCATTCCGGAACAACCAATTGTCCAAAAGCATTTCAAAATGTGACGGAATGGCCACGATATGTTAACGCTCCGGACTAGAATTTTTAGGATTTCTAGCCGCGAAGGTTCAAACCCCGTCAATGGCAAGCCATTGTGTCCTTGAGCAACAAACTTTACACTCATTGCCAAGTACTTGTTGGTTTCAGGAACGGATTCGAGAATGTCTTTAGGCTCATAGTGCCCTACACAATCGAACTAAAATGAATTCTGTATTAACACCAGTTTGAACGCTTTCTAAGATTCGGAAAAAGAGGTAAAACATTAATTTTGTGAATACATGTAAATGGAATGGTGTTATTTTTTATTTGCTGCGACAAAATAAAAACCGAACTCTGCTTACCTTAATGTACATGTTTTAATGCAACCATTATTGTAATTATTTTGTGTTGAGACAAAAAAAAAGCCTACAGTACCTGAATTTATAAAGTCTTCACTGTCGACTGAAATAATATTTTGGCCTGTGACAAAGATGTAGATTTCAAACTAACAACATGACGTTTTCCACCAGGAATCTATTGACACATAAAACAAATGCTTTATTGACAGGGTCTCGAGTATATCCACAAGGGTCAGATACATTTTCATGGCAATTTAAAGAGCACGAATTGCGTTGTTGATAGTAGATGGACGTGTAAACTAACAGATTACGGTGTACCGACAATAAGGGAGATGGGGAGAATAGCATCTCAACAAGCAAACGAAGACATTCAATATGAGAGTAAGGAAATCAGTTTGATTATTAAAATAAAGGTATCATTTCCGACAGTTTTGTAAATAGGTACTTACCTATTGTCGCCTCTTGTAAATTTACACATGCTAGATATAATGAATTGACATGCCAATCTTTCAATTTTGGCAAAACCAATCATCATTTTTAGGAATCATTCTGGAAACAATAAATAACTTTCTCTTTCAACATTTATCAATCTCCGTTGTTAGAGGTATCATAGACTTTATTTGGAAATGTGTTGTACCATGTGTTTTTCGGTCGGAAAGTTGAAAACAATAACAAACAAACATGATACAATGTATTTTACAATATTTGATGATTGCATAACTAAAACAATTATGTTGCTAGAATTCATAATTTGATACAGAAATGTTGTGGATGGCACCCGAGTGTTTACGAGAAGGAAAGGACAGACGTGTTGATAAACAGAAAGCTGATATTTATGCCTTAGGAATCATTTTAAAGGAAATATTCACTCGGTCCTCCCCATACACGGAGTATCCATTTCTAGTTGCTCATGGTAAGTATTTTGACTTAACTACAAATACATTTAAAAACTTCTCTTAAAGACATGAAAAAAGAATGTTTTACAACAGATAAATAAAAGCATAAACTACTAGTAGTTTGACAAACATAATACTGTAGCGGTATGTTTACTATAATTAACGCACACAATTGCCTTAAACTCTACTTTGATTTGTCACTAATTAAAGGTTTTTGTTTTTCAAATGAAGCAGTGTTTTGATCTATTACGTACGAGTACAATTTTGTGATATCTGTGTACATGTATAAGTTGGACCTTCTTGTGCGTTTGAGAAGTCAAATTCCTGGAAGAATGTGGAATTAGTGAATTTAAGTCTTTAAATGTAAAATAATGATGATTTGAGTCTTATTTAGTGTAATGGATGTGCCCAGTTTTGAATTTGGAATAATCTGTTCGACGTTTAAGTCGAATGGTTTGTTCCAAATTTAGCTGATAAAAGCTGAAATGGCATTGTGGTATTCTTTATATAAAAACACAAAAATGCGTTACAAGCTGTATAGAGCCTGCACAGACTGCACAGATGGTTCTGACTTCAGGTCCCAACCGGTAAAGAGCTAGTTAAAACTAAACTCGAATGTTCCAATTTTCAGAAATCATTGATAAAATAAAATGCCCAAATGAAGGAGAGAAAGTTTTTCGACCCATGTTGTCCCTGCAGTTACGTCTACATTCAGAGCTGGCCACTCTAATAATGGACTGCTGGAGCGAGGACCCGTCCTCAAGACCCGCTGCAGCACGTGTTGGTAAACTTCTGAACAAAATTCATCCACAGTAAGTAGGCTTTTTGTGTTGGTATTGTTGTTGTTGTTGATGGTGGTGGTGATGGTGATGTGCGCACATGCGTGTGTTTTACATGAAATGACAATTGCAAATTAGCGCTTCTTAATTTAAAGATGACATGCATTATCATGCGAAATTGAAATATATGTAATCAGTTTTTGTGTAACAGAAAATATTTGAAAATATATTCAACGTGCAAGTGTCTGATAAATATGAACACTTTCTTTTTCTACGTTAAATATTCATCAAAATCATCCATATGATCTCAAACAATGAATTCCCTGATCAACTCCATTTAATCAATTAAAGTTGCATTGTATTTTGATATCGGCATCCTGTTTCAAATTAAAAGCAGGTCAAATCCAAATTCAAAAGTCAGCAGGTTTAGGGTTAGAAAGATATACATTTTTACAAGTTACGGAAATAACAAAGGGGTCTCTTATGTGTAAATTGGTTAATGTAATGTAACATTTGAGCGTAACATTTTTTAAATATGATTTACTTTTTAATTTGAGAAACTTAAGGCTTATATTAGAATATCAACTTGGTCGCGATCGTGGCATCGCAGCTTTGACGAAGATGTGACACAGAATTATTACGAATAAACCGTTGCAGTACGGATTTAACAAAATGTATTAATTCTCAATTTTCATTTTTTTAGAAATTTGTCTATGATAGACAACATGATTGCTATGTTAGAAAAGTATGCCAATCATCTTGAGGAACTTGTAGCTGAGAGAACAAGCGAGCTGGACGCAGAGAAAGCAAAAACAGAAAATCTTCTATATAGAATGCTTCCACAGTACGTATCAGAGTGTCGATTGATGATGCTGAAATTTTGTATATTCAATATTCCAAATTTCAAAGTACTTCTGATTTAGGTTTGGAGTTAAAAGAATTACATGTATATGAAAAGTGGTACATGAATTTATTTTCTTCAAAGGAACTCCACTGAAGTCCAAAAGCCTGAAAACTAAAATTTAAGTTTTTTTACATAGATCTGACCGTGAATTTAAAACAGACAAATATGAAAGATAATTGAAATATATTTTTAAAAAATGACAATCGTATTTTATGTTATTTTTGCCCGATTTTAGTGAAAAGCGTGGCATTGCTGGAAAACGGAGTGGGTGAATGATCTAAAATTTTGCACATACTTTAACGGTCTAGACTTTTATTTCGAAAAATAATTTCCATTCTTGCTATGTCAAAAACCTTCAGTGGAGTCCCTTTAATGTCCCGTGTGTAACAAGAATGGTGGCATAATGATCATTTTGTCTGTGTTTTGCAGAACGGTTGCAGAGGAGCTTAAAATGGGCCGACCAATAAAAGCGGAACAATTTGATGAGGTCACATTATATTTCTCCGACATTGTCGGGTTCACTTCAATATGTGCCAGCAGTACGCCTATAGAAGTTGTCAATCTTTTGAATAGTTTATATACACTATTTGATGCCATAATAACACGATATGATGTTTATAAGGTGAGTACAATTTTAATATCATGAATAAAGTAATAAGTTAGAATATTTTTCTACATTATTTTTCATTATGATTTGTGTACTATCATGTTCTAAAGAAAGCAGCCATCTCATTATTTTCATAATTCTTGCATAAAAACTGCGCGGACAACAAAATATGCATAAACTACGAAAATAAACGGATAGATTTTCGTGACTGCGCCGTTGTTTACACCTTGTTTTTTTTTTTAATATGCGTGACTCAGGGAGTAATGTAAAAAGACGGCCCCGGTAGTTTTTTATCAAAACATAACTACACTAGGTCGTAGAAAACGTCATACAAGCAGTGGTTTCTTTACAAAAGAATACAAAAAAAAACGAAACGCGAAAACAAAATTTTGGACGTATATTTCTTATGCAAAAATAGCGCTATTGTACCTTTTTTGTGCATTTGCATCTGTAAAAGCCGATGTTAATACAGGAATAAGGTGCATTCAACAATATCGTGTTAAAGATACTGAGTATACATGTATCCAAAATGTTACTTCCAGTAAACAATTCCTACATTTCAATGCTTACATTTTAAACACTTATTATTTTGGACATGTAGGTGGAAACTATCGGTGATGCTTACATGATAGCGAGTGGATTACCAAAGAGGAATGGGAAGCGTCATATTAAGGAAATAGCCGACTGTGCTTTAGACATATTAGCCTCCGTATCTACATTCTGTATACCCCACCAACCGGACAAGAAAGTCAAAATACGAATAGGTACTTAACATTGTCTTTTCCTTTTGAAAGTTTTTGGCGGGTTTTATTGATATACACTTTGTAAATAGCTCAACATTATTTTAAGAACACTTACAAATATATACATAACGTACCTACAAAAACAGCTTTGCATGTAACTGCTGTTATTTGCGTGCCTTGGATTTTTTGGTTGTTGTTGTTTTTGTAAGTGGTTTTTTTGTCAATTTCACAGTTGATACAACTGATGTTTATCTTATATATGATGTTGACCTTGGAAATGTGAAAAAATTAATATTCACATGATAAAAGATGTTAATTACGCGGAGTTATGATATATTACTTTAAACCTTACACAAAGACATTTATTATATGTTAATATGATTGTTTTGTTACCATATAAAAGATTAATATAAAATGTCACGTAATTTTAAATACAAATTTTATTCAAATCTGCTTTTAATTATTTTCCATCCAAGGTATACATACTGGTCCAGTTGTAGCCGGTGTTGTAGGGCTGGCAATGCCAAGATATTGTTTATTTGGAGACACAGTAAACACCGCTTCAAGAATGGAATCTACCGGTCTTCGTAAGTTTATTGGTGTTAGCATATTATAATATGTTCTACTCGTAAGTCATATGAAATAAATGTAAATCTTTGCATTGTGTTGATTAAATAAAATACGTCTACAGGAAAGAGCATATATTTAAATGTCTGCTGGGAAATACAACAAACGATAGTACGGTATGATCCGGGAATTAAGAAACCGAATGTATGAAAGTTTCCTTACCAGTCAAAAATGATAGATTAGTGAAAAATAAATTATGTTTTGAACGATCGTAAACAAACAACAAGAGTTTATATATTACTTATACACTTTAAAGATTAATTATATTCCTTTTTGTCTTGTAAAAACGATTTCAAAACAATTTCATATTCTTACATGGTTATGGCTGTTGGATCAATCAGTTTTTACTTTTATGTTATTTATTGTGCATACTGTATTTCATTCTCTTAGGAAAGAATGATCATCATTTCATACTTTTTAACAACTTTTCAATCCAGGCAGCCTTTCACATCTTGTTTGTTTTCTTTCAGCTTTACGTATACACTTGAGTTTAACATCAAGAAATGCATTGGAACAATACCCTGGCTACTATCTTGTTTGTAGAGGTGAAATTCCTGTTAAAGGAAAAGGAAACATGAGGACATACTTCTTGTGTGGAAAAGAAGGATTTAAAAAAGACCTTCCAAATTGCGATGAAAACGTTGAGAGTGGGCAAGGAGGAAATCGTGTATCTCTTACTTCATTGAACTCTATGGCATCGCTAGTGTCATCCCCTTCTACGTGTTATTCATTTGTATCAAATTGCGCACCAACATCAAAAACTTCGCAAATATCAAACATTTCTAACATTACACGAAGTGTTTCGATACACAATTATTCAAATGATTCATTGACAGAAAAGAATAAAACAGTTGTGACAGAAAAAGCTCAGTGTGCTGGAGTAGACAAAAACTCAAAGTCAAAACAAACTTGTATACATGAGAACACGCGCTTGTGACACCAAGCTAGTTGAAAATTCAAAAATATCTTCTGGAACAAGATCTGTAATAGATGTTTTATTGAGCTCAGTTTCACTGGTGCTGTTTCGTTTGAATTATTTATGTTATACAAATGTATCTGGTCAATATTATTAAAGGCGTTGTATTAATTATGTTATAATGTGCAATTAAAACTGAAAGAGCTGTAACTTAGACAATTAGTTTATTTAAGTGAATCAAATAAGATTAAAATCAATGAATGAAGTGAGCTTTTGTCTCATTGAATAGATTATGTTAACGTGGGTAACTAATTAGATGTATAAGGGATAAAAATTTAAATATAAACATTTGATAATAATATATTATTTTACTGACAAATGTTTAAATAGAGGATATTTGTTTGTTTGTGTGTAAGATGAAATTTTATTTCATCGAGTGAGCGTAGCCACGAGTGAGAATACTGTTTTTAAAGTTCACGAGATGAAATAAAATTACATCTTACACAACAAACAGACAAATTTTCTTTTTATTTTATGCTTAAAAACAAGTTAAAACGAAATTTCCATAATTTTTACGTTAATATTAAAATCTGTTTCCCCCATTGAGAGCCCCATTTAGACGGAATTTCTCATTTAAAACAAGAAGTCTTGAGCTGAAAAATAAGTCCGCCAATCAAGGTTAAATGACGGTGATATTTATTCATTTTATTAAAAACATATGAATGATCGCTTGTTTTAATAATAAAAACAAACAATTCTTGCAGGAGAAAATTCCAACCATCCATCCATATTTCTGTTACTTACTGCGAATTTATATTAGACCTGGCTTTCTTAAATGTAAACGGCAGCCATTTTTTAAAGTTGTGTATTTCATGGGAGGAAAATAATTGTGTAAGATTCAGAAGGATATAATTTGGATTTGTTAGTCATACACCTTTTTAAAAGAAAGAAAACTTATTTGAGGATTGTAACAGACAAAAAATAAGGGTTGACAGTAGTGAAAACATTCAGAAAAGGAGCTAGGAAAATGGAAAACTTGGAAGCTTGCTGAAGGAACGCTGGGTTAATTTACTTATTTTACGAGTGATGGCTGTCAATGCTTTTCAATTTTTCATAAAGCATACGGCAGTTATTGCTCGTAGGATACTTTAATATGCCCAAATGTCATCAAGAGCAGTTTTGCATGGGGAAGGAATGTATTTTTCAGACTGTAAAAACGAAACAAAAAAAGATTTAGAGACGAAATTTGGTGATTGGAATTTAAGGAATAGAAGTAAGTTTTCTCTCTGTGTTACTTTTGACATTTAAGTTATTTATCTATTTCAGCTTTGCTATTTCTTTTAACAGCCTGACATTGTCAGAATTGTCCGTAAAAATAAAATTGAGGTACCACATGGGGAAAATCTTAAAAAAGTAGTTTCGTCATTGAAAAAAGTGAAATTATATTTTGATAATTTTCACTGTGAAATTATCAAATATAATTTTCACGGATAAATCAGTAATCCACTGAAAAGCATAAAATAAATAAGGATAAATGCACTTTGCATAAGAACAAAGAACAAATAATTTCTCAGTAAAAGAGATGTACAAGCTTAGCCTTCAAATCTACTGTTGCCGTTTGGTGGCTAGTTTTTTTTATTTTATCTTATTTTCTTTGCAAAAATGATATAGCTAAGCTTTTTTGCATTTATATTTAATTATAATATTATACACATATCATAATAATACACTCATTGTCTCAAACTATAAAATGTGTTTTTTGTTGTTGTTTATGTTGTTGTTGTTGTTGTTATTGTTGTTGTTGTTGTCGTTGTTGAATATATCATACATATAGTCATAATTATGATTGATGTATATGTACAAATTGTAGACATATAAATCTTTTGTACATTCATAAAAAAAATGAAAACATAAATATCTTATTTGAACTAGCTGTGGCGATTTCTCTTTTTTAATTTGGAAATGATTAAAAACATTTCACATGCTTGCAGTATTACCTGTTTAAGAAATCCATGAGAAAAATTTGCATTGAATATGTAATAATCAGTGTTCAAAATTAAATGTACAGATTTTCTTCATATTGACTAATATATGTGTCTGCAGTGATTGTTTCAAAAAATCACTTCAGAGGTAAGTGGTGTTTTTTGTTTGTTGTTGTTTTTTGTCCTTTTTTGCATTGAAATAAAAAATGTATGTATTTGAATACAAAATGAGTTCCAGCTTTTTTTCTCGCATTCCTTGGCGTTTTAGTAAATGTATTTCCAACGTAGCCGCTGTAATCACTGGTTTGTAAATATCAAAATTATTATAGTTAACACTGCATTTCAATGAATTCATTTTCTAACAAATTGGTGTAAATGGCAATTGATGAAATGGTATAAAATACTATGATGCCTAACAGATTAATCAAAGGATTGTGATGTCAGTGTAAGAATATTTCAAACCGAGGATTTTATATTTCACTGCCTAAGGATCGCATAGCTTTTATGAACGACGGGAAAATGTTATTTAATTTGCTCCTGTTTTGCAAGACGCATAGAGAGTGTTAAATGTAAACATTCAGTACTTTGATATGTAACATTTTGTGTAAATCAACTGGCAGTGAAATAAAGGTTTCAAGTAAACAAATATGATCGCTTGATGTGTGTGTTTGTTTCGTTTTTTACTGTTGTTTTATGAAAATAAAACAATGTATTCATATAAGCGGTGTTGATATTCCTACAATTGAAAAGAAATATGATTAATGGGGTTAATGGGTGGCGAATTACAGCATTCAATGTTTTAACCACTAGCAACACATGTTCATGATTTTGTTATTTATTACTGGTATTTCAATGCAACTCATATACTCGTATTTGGCGTATTTGTTTTGTTTGCAAATTATTATGTATTATGTTTATACCAAAGATCATTGAAAGATAATGTCTTATGATAATATATTTCAAGATAAAGGTCAAGGATTTCAGTCTTTTTGTTTTCGTTATTTTAACATTCAGCCACACCTACAATGGTCGAACGATTTTATTGCCTGTCATATTTCGTTGAATTTTTCATTTAATTACTGGGATCCTACGTACATATTACCGGACAAAATATGATGTTTTTTTCGCTGTAACTTTTATTTAGAACAATAAAAAAGAATGGAATTTTACCAAAATAATTTTGGGTTCTTAATACAAGGAAACGTTCCTTAAACAAACATGAAATTAAACATTTGACCGTAGAAATGTGTCTTTTGAGTAGTGCATTATAAGATAGAAAAAATCGTGTAGACAACTCAATTTACCGGACATTGTGTTTCAAAATTTTTTGAAGTCGTGAATTGAAATTAATCTTTAAATAATCAGCAAGGAAACTATGACTATTGAATGGCAAGGTTAACGTACTAGAAAAACCCAGTATGTCACTAAAATAGACACGGCAGCCATGCTTGTTACGAAGAGGCCAATAAAGGGGTGTAATTGAAATTAACACTTTTAACTCAATTAACATATTGATTCTTCACGATCCTTAAACGTATGAAACATTTTTATATTCAAATGGAATTCTGTTCTTTGTCATACAGTTTCCTTTTGGTCATCATGTAGCATGTTGCAAAAACCGTAAAAACTATTTTATTTACATTTCATCCCATGGGCGTAAGTCATTTCCTTATATGTTTTTTAATTTGCATTTCTTTGTAAAAGACAACAACAAGATACTGTTTGAACGAAATATTACTTTTTATCATTAAAATATGTTACGATTGTCTCCTGAGATAAAGTTGAGAAAAATTAAAAGTAAAACCTATCTAAAATAACCCATTAAGGCCCTCAATATTCGGTATACGCAGAAGCGGCAGAACAGATTATTCCACCGCATGACCATGTCATGAATAAACTAGTAAAGAAAAGGGTATGTTAGTAAATAAAGAACTGTATCAACAATGTTTCCCTGAGAGTGGTTTTGTTGTTATTTACTTCGAAATGGAAAGTGTGTGTGCGATTAAGACCAGATGATTTTTTAATCGAAGCAAAAAATAAAGCCTTATTTTACAGGAATAGATTTTGTCCGGTAAACTGATTGTCCGGTAAATATGAAGGATCCCAGTAGGCATGTTTCTCGCTTCCTGTTCTTGAAATCATACAAATATAATATTTGAAAGTGAAAAAAAGAAGAAGTTTTAAATTGAATGAATTCAGTTTGATTGTTTAATAGTATTCTGCTTTGACAACACACGTGTACATCAGCTTAAAAGTATTTACAATACAAAAAATAAATACAAACATGTACATTATATAGAATTTATTTCACAAGCAAAATATCAGTTTTGATTACAAACATAACATGTCAAACCATTTTGTCAATTATTTTGATATAAAGTCAGTTTTGTTTTTGTATTTCAGACGCAGAAAAAGACGTTCCTTTAAATGATAAGGATGCTAACGTATATCTATAAAATACTTACTTTTATTGTATATTTTAGATTTTAATATTGCGATTATATTATCGTAAAATAATTCATCACACCTGATCCAGTAATTCAATATTGGAATCGGAAAGTTCGGATGTGTTTATTTGCTTTATGTCGTCACGAGCAGGTACACAAGGGGAAGGCATCCCATAAATGCTGTTTGAGGTTGTTCCTTAGTTTCAGCAAATTCCAAAGACATAGGTTTGTTAATTACAAATCATACATGAAGTACATAGCTGTCTGATATCTCTACATACGGCTTGTGTGTCAGATGTGGAAAGAACACAAAGAAATTTTCAAATAAAGAAAGAAATTAAGAAAACGAAAAAAGATAACCCTGGGGCAATATATTGCCCTATTATTTACTATTATAGCAGCGACATACAATGTACCCATTGTGTTGACTGAGAAATGAATGCATTATATATGTTCCTAAGAGGGTACAGTTGAAATACAAAATTATGAATTCAACGATGTCATGCAACTTTTATGCAAAAAGGTAGCTAAAATTCGTGTGAATTTGAACTGGGTGAATGTTTACATAAAATACAAATTCAAAAAAGCGTGAGTTACTGATTTTTTTTGTTGTTTTTTTTTACTTATTGTTGGAAAAATACTTTTTGTCTACTAGCTTTACTATATAAACCCGGAAACGCATACGTCCATGTTGGACCACCGAAACAGGGAAATTCCGTTACCAGAAGTATTGTATGTAAATTTACTTTCTTTAAAGATCGTGAATTCATCAGAAAGCAAAGCAAAAATCTCAAAGGCTCCAATTATTATATAAATGAGCAATTTCCGCCAAAAATAATTGAGAAAAGAAAAAAACCAATACCACAAATGAAAGCAGCCCACAAGAGAAACAAGAAGGCCTGGATATCATACGACACATTATACATTGACGGAGTGCCAGTGAGGGATAACTAG